GGAGCGAAGGGAGGAAAGAAATCTCACATTTTCTCTCTTAGTTGGATTCTTTTTTTTTTTTTTTTTTTTTTTTGAGAAACAGGGTTTTTCTGTGTAGCTTTGCGCCTTTCCTGGAACTCGCTTTGGAGACCAGGCTGGCCTCGAACTCAGAGATCCACCTGCCTCTGCCTCCCAAGTGCTGGGTGGGATTAAAGGCGTGCGACATCACTGCCCGGCGCTTAGTTGGATTCTTAACACACATATATATGTGTGTAAAACATGGAGGCAGAATGGTGATTAATTCATCTTTTTAGTAGTTCTTTGGAATGGGGTACAGCTGTGAGTAAGTTGTGTGAGAATGTTAGTGAAGTTCATTTTGTACACTGATACAAAACTGAGTGTGTAGAAAAAACCCTGTAATTCCAGCACTTGTATGATAGACGCAGAATCAGGAGTTTGAGGCCAACTTCAGCCACGTATGAGTTTGAAGTCAGCCTGGGCTGAATGCACAATCCTCTCTCAAGGCAACCAGTTTTTAAAAAACAAAAAACATACTGGGAGGGTCACCAGCCTTATTCCACATGGACAGTTAAAACTCCTGTCTTTTCTGTTTTCATAGTAGAATTGGGGTGGTTGTCACATTGATGGGTATCTGCACGTTTACTTCAGTTGAAATCTGTTTTACTTCCTTGATTGTAGGATCTGGCCATGTTAGAGTATGTGGTGTTTATTTTTCATAGAGTAAATTAGTTAAATGTTCACTGCCCAATGCCGCTAAAAAGCCATTTAAAAAAATCACATAAAGTAAAATGAAATAAAAGGTTGAAAACCAAGGAGAAGAGTAAGAGAGTCGGTCCATTGGAATTGTGGGGGTGACAGACAGGGGCTCACTATATACCCTTCCCTGGCCCGAAACGACAAACCCAGGAAGATATTTCCTTTGTCATTTAGATGGTTAAAAGGCATTTGGTGTGACTCTTTGTCAAGAGCCAAGCAAGTATGTCTGTTATGCAGAAAAAGGATTGTGGAGGCTGTTTTGTTGCTGACATTTTTTTCCCATTTCCTATCCTTCAGATACTAGATTTGCACTGCATTTTGGGATTCGTCGACACTTAAAATGCCACCTGCAATTGGAGGACCAGTCGGATATACCCCCCCAGATGGAGGCTGGGGGTGGGCAGTGGTAGTTGGAGCTTTCATTTCTATCGGCTTCTCTTATGCATTTCCCAAATCCATCACTGTCTTCTTCAAAGAAATTGAAGTTTTATTCAGTGCTACTACCAGTGAAGTGTCATGGATATCGTCCATCATGCTGGCTGTCATGTATGCTGGAGGTGAGTACCCACTATGGCCCGCTCTTGAACCTTCCTTCTATTAGGCAGCCGGAGTCTGTACTTTTTGGTGATTTCTCTGTAACACTGGCTGTCCTGGAACACCTCTGTAGACCAGGCTGGCCTTGAACTCAGAGATCTGCCTGCCTCTGCCTCCCGAGTGCTGGGGTTGAAGGGCCACCGCTGCCTGGCTGAGTCTGTGCATTTTAATATCTTACTCAGTGAGGTGCTTTGAAGCTGTGCTTGCTGACGTTTCCTCCTGAGGAGCATGCTCTCATCCCGATAGTGCGGGCAGCTCTTACTCCCTCCCTCCATTACTGCTTGTTGGAACAGAAGTGGAAGCGAGAGGAAGGAGCCCTCTCGAGTATTGGCTGTGTTTTGAGGGCTCCTGTAAAATGACGTGTGTAAACCTTGTTCCTCTTGCTCTGTGACACTTGAAAAGTAAGCATCTTTACATATTGAATTGCAAGATTTTAAAGTTACTCAAATGTCTAGAATAGTATAGTTAGTTCAAAGTCTCAGGTAAAATCTATCATTTAAGGACCGGGCTTGTCCCACAGGCACAAAGAGGTGAAGACAACTGATACCCTATTGGCTGGCACGCACACATGGACGAGAGCACACACCAAAAACAAAAGCTGAATAAAAAATCTCCCCTTGTTCCTATGATACTATGAGTTCTAAAAGCATTTTAGCTGTTACTCAAATTTTATCACTTTTCCCCCTTTTCTTTGCTTTGGCATGGTGTGGAGGCTATGTAGAAAGTAGATTGCTTATTTCAAACACGGTATATTTTACCTGGAGACATCAAACCACAATTAAACTAAAAGTTAAACCTACAATAAAACTTGAGGTTGTTGAGTAGGAATTCTGGAGCAAAGTGGTTTTTTGTTTAACCTGGTGGACAGTGTTCCATGTTGTCTTGTTAGATATCTAACAAGCTGTTTTTGATAACAATTTAGTGTCTTGGATTATATTCACATGTCGCTCTTTAACAGCCAACACAAAGATTCTAGTCTACATTTCAGTGGTGACTAACTTGGTAGCAGATTCAGCAGTCTTGACTAAGTAAGTCTCTTGAGTACATTCAACTCTGGCTGCATGTTGTGAGTGAGAGAGAACACTACATCTGGTCTTCTGTTTGATGTAATAAGCCCTGAAACAGCACTGTGTAGTTGAAGTCAAAATTTAATTAAACATAATTAAGTTGGTTGATTTGAAGAGGGATAAATGGACAGAAGCAGCAGTTTGAAGACCTGCTTTTCCTTCCTGTGTATTTTTTTGTCTTTAAATTTTTTTATGTGTGTGGGTGTTTTACCTGTGTGTGTGCCTGGGTATCATGTGAATGCCTGGTAACCATGAAGGCCAGAAGAGGGCTTCAAATCCCCTTGGACCCTGAGCTGCCATTGGTGTTGGGAACCGAGCCCTGTTCTCAAAAAGAAGCCAGTCCTCTCTCTCAGCTCTGCTGTCTGACTGTCCTCACCCTTTCTTTCTCACTGGTTGGTTTGTGTTTGGAGACAGGGTCTCTGCATAGTCCAGCTGCTTAGAGCCTTCAGTTAACCAGCAGGTCTCTAAGCTCGTGTGCCAGCGGACCTGTCTCCTAACCTTCTGTTTTCAATGACAGTTCATTAGGACCTTTCTGCTGCTGAAGTAACTGAAAGACAGATTGCTTGTCATGAACTTTGGCAGGATTCTTATTAAATGGGTTGTTTATTCTGTTTGGTTTCTGAAGAACACACCCCCTAAGAATTTTCATCACTTCACAACTGCCAATCCTCTAACCTGTGCACTCTTGATTTTGGTTGCTTGTTGAAGCAGGGTCCCTATGGTGCCCTGGCTGTGTAGATCAGGCCGGTCGTAAAGTCAGACCTCCTCCTCCTGCCTCTGCCTCCCAAAGACTGGGATTAAAGGTGTGAGCCCCCTACACCTGGCCAAGGAGAAAAAAAATCTTAGTGCTTTTGTTTTTCCCTTTTTTGGTATTTCAAATATTATAGAATTGATAACACTAACTTAAACTTCAAAGAACAGTATGGCAATATTTTAGGATTCTGGGTATATAAAACCTCACAAATAATTCATATGAAACTCTTATACAGATATTCTATCAGTGTCCAGTATTTTCATCCTATACAAACTGTAAACATAAGTTTTCAAATAACCCGTGACTTCATGAAGTGGCTGTTTTCATCTGGGCCTCTGAGGGCCTGTTCTTTGTAACCAGTGCCTTCCAGCTGCCTCACATGGCAGCAGAGAAGATATGTTCCCTCAGGCTCTTTCATAAAGACACTTAGTAGATCCATGAGGCTCTGACCTAATTATCTCTTACAGTTCCTGGCTGTCAATCTCCTGCTTTTGGGTTGAGTTTTAACATGAATTTTTTCCCCTCCATGTGAGGGTGGATCCCAGAGCCTTGCTTATTTGCAGTCATCTGCTGTAACCAGCCAGGTTACAGTGTCCTGCAGTCATTCTTTCTCAAGTCCTTATCTATGAAGTGTGAAACTCAGGTGTTTTTATAATTACAAGTAAGTGAAGGTGAATACCATTCATTTTATAATCAGCAAAAATTACTAGCTTTTCTTCTTTTTGTTGTTGTTTACATATGCAAAGCACTAGCACCATGCAGAGTTTGAGGGAGAGGTGCCTCACACAACAGCATGAAACACAGTTATCAGGCTTATGAACTGTGGGAAGATGGACATCATTAGTTTAGTTTTATTAAGAATTGTGTCCTAAGACTGGGGATGTGACTTAGTGGTCGAGTGGGTAACAGCTTAGGTTTCTTCAACACTTAAAAAAACAACAGCTTTAGACTACCCTTGAATCTGTTCACCTAGACAGCCTGTCATTTCATTCCCATCCTCTTGAGTGGTTAGCTCAAGGCTCTTACTGACTGTTGTCTGACTTGATCTCCTGTAAGCTTTATTTTTATTGCTTTTGGTTTTTGAGGCAGGGACTCGTGAGCCTAGTCTGGCCTTGAACTTACTACATCTACTGTGTAGTGAGGACGAGTGGTTCTGTCTGCCTTCACACTGCTGTGGTTACAGGATACCGTTTGCCATGGCAGTCGCAGCCTTGGACACAGTGCCCATCCTCCAAGCATTTCTTTACATCAGGACCATACAGGATTGAGCCAAGTCATTTTAATATAGTCAACTCAGTACCTTCGACAGCTACATAGATATACAGGGAAAGTTTTTTCTCATTTGTCTTTTCTTGGATATGAGAGTTGATACTACTACATTTTTTATTCCCTCTTAGGTCCTATCAGCAGTGTCCTGGTGAATAAATATGGCAGCCGTCCGGTAATGATGGCTGGTGGCTGCTTGTCTGGTTGTGGCTTGATTGCAGCGTCTTTCTGTAACACAGTGAAGGAACTTTACTTCTGCATTGGCGTCATTGGAGGTGAGTGGCTACTGATTAATTTCATATTGATTTATTGTCACTATCTGATAATGCACTTGATAAATGACTTTTTAGGGAGCTGCTGATTAACTGAGTACTAGTACGAAGGCTCAGTGGGTAAAGGAAGAGCCTGAGTCTCCCTCTGGACCCACATGGTGTACGGAATGAATCAGCTCCACTCTCACACCATGGCACAGGCATGCACACACAAAGTTGGTGTTTTGTTTTGTTTTTCCAGACAGGGTTTCTCTGTCTAACAGTCCTGGCTGCCCTGGAACTCATTCTGTACACCAGACTGGCCTTTAACTCAGAAATCCAGCCTACCTCTGCCTCCCAAGTGCTGGGATTAAAGGCGTGCACCACCACTGCCCAGTGGGAATAGGCTTTTACTGGAATAGGACAGTGTGCTGTCCTAACACCTCTCTGAAGGTTAAGGGTACTCTTGGTAAGCCTTCTCTCCATTTTTTATTTAGTCATCAAATCAAGAAAATGAGCCAAGAGGTAATGGTGTGCACCTTTAATCCCAGGGCTTGGGAGGCAGAGGCAGGTCTGTCTCTGAGTTCAAGGCCAACCTGGTCTACAAAGTGAGTTCCAGGACAGCCAGGGCTACAGAGAAACCTTGTCTTGAAAAACCAAAAGAGAGAAAGAAAATAAGCTGTTGAATATTATGACATTCAAATGTATGGCCTGTCATACTGTTTCTTTAGTGTACAAACCTAACCTTCTTTTTGTTTGTTTGTTGAGACCAAAAAGGAAGAGATTTTTTTTAAAGAATTTGTTTATTTATTTATTTATTTATTTATTTATTTATTTATTTATTTATTTATTTATTATGTATACAGTGTTCTGTCTGCACACATCGCTGCAGGCCAGAAGAGGGCACCAGATCTCATTACAGGTGGTTGTGAGCCACCATGTGGTTGCTGGGAATTGAACTCAAGACCTTTGGAAGAGCAGCCAGTGCTCTTAATCTCTGAGCCAGCTCTCCAGCCCCCAAACTGTGTATTATAAGCAGCTTTTCATGTCATTCAGTATTTGAGATAGAACAAAGTTTGCTGTGTCCAGCCCAGCTTCAGGGATTGATCTGATTAGGCAGTGAAGGAATGAAGGGAGGACAAACATACAGAGGAACGCTGCAATCGGCATGGTTGCCATATACCGTTGAACCAGGAGTTCATTGTACACAGCTGGACAAGGGACAGCGTTTATGGTATGTAGTTGGATCAAGGAGGCAAGTTTAACTAGATCACATGCATCAGATTCCCTAGAGCTGGAGTTACAAGATGATGGTGAGTTTTCCAGTGTGGATGCTGGGAATCCAAGGTCAGCCCTCTGCAAGAGCGGTGTACCATGCCCTTAGTCCCAAGCCATCTTTTCAGCCTCACTTACTTCTGCTTATGACAGTCTTATCTTTGTTCCTTTCCTAGGTCTTGGGCTTGCTTTCAACTTGAACCCAGCTCTGACCATGATTGGCAAGTATTTCTACAAGAAGCGACCATTGGCCAATGGGCTGGCCATGGCAGGCAGCCCTGTGTTCCTCTCTACCCTGGCTCCACTTAATCAGGCTTTCTTTGGTATTTTTGGCTTGAAAGGAAGCCTCCTAATTCTCGGGGGCCTCCTGCTAAACTGTTGTGTAGCTGGATCCCTGATGCGACCAATAGGGCCTAAACCAGGCAAGGTAGAAAAGCTGAAGTCCAAAGAGTCTCTTGAGGAAGCTGGAAAATCTGATGCCAACACAGATCTCATTGGAGGAAGCCCCAAAGGAGAAAAGTCGTCAGCCTTGCAAATAATTAATAAGTTCCTGGACCTGTCCCTGTTTGCCCACAGAGGCTTTTTGCTGTACCTGTCTGGAAATGTGGTCATGTTTTTTGGACTCTTTACCCCTTTGGTCTTTCTTAGTAATTATGGTAAGAGTCAGCATTACTCCAGTGAGAAGTCAGCCTTCCTCCTTTCCATTCTGGCTTTTGTCGATATGGTGGCCAGACCTTCCATGGGACTTGTAGCCAACACTAAGTGGATCAGACCTCGGGTCCAGTACTTCTTTGCTGCCTCTGTTGTTGCAAATGGAGTGTGCCATTTGCTAGCACCTTTGTCTACCACCTATGTTGGGTTCTGTGTCTACGCGGGATTTTTTGGATTTGCCTTTGGTTGGCTCAGCTCCGTATTATTTGAAACACTGATGGACCTTGTTGGACCCCAGAGGTTCTCCAGTGCTGTGGGCTTGGTGACCATTGTGGAATGCTGTCCTGTCCTCCTAGGACCACCACTTTTAGGTATGGTATATCTCGCTACGTTTTTGGTTCTCTTCTGATTATAAAAGTAACCTGTGGAGAGCAGCTCTACCTTTAAAGCACATTCTAGTAATAGGGGGAAGAGTAGATATTTCATAAGGTCAGAACACAGGAGCAACTGTCCTAACCACTGTGTATCTTGGATCTAGGATTATTTTAGTAGCAGTTTCATAAGTGAAGTCAAGCTTTAGGAGGTGGGATAGTTTGGCACAGTTACATTAGTTGATGAGTCATTATATAATTTGAGAACTCCTTTGTTTTGTTTTTGTGTTTTCAATGCGAGGTTTCTCTATCCCTGGCTGGACTGGAACTCACTCTATAGCCCAGGCTGGCTTCAAACTCAGATCTTGCCTGCCTGCCTCTGCTTCCCAAGTGCTGTGATGAAAGGCTTGAACTCTTTATTTTATTAAATCCTATGTTGGACCGCTGGTGCACACCTATTTTTCCAGCACTTGGAGGCTGAGGCAGGTTGTTTGTGACTTCAAGATCAGCATTAGCTTACACAACAAGATAACTCTCAAATAACTATCTCCACAAATGTTCCGACTCCTTTTGGGTGTTCATGGTGATTTATTTATTTATTTATTTTGGAGATAGGGTCTTACTCAACCCAGTTGATTTTAACTTGTTTTGTAGCCAAAGATTGCCCGGACCTCCTGACCCGCCCATGTTCTCCCCTCAAGTGCTGGGATTATAGGCAGCTGCCACCAAACTTATAGATGGCTTCCTTTCTAGCTTCTTCCCTTGAGGTTTCATCTCCCACTTTTTTTTTTTTTTTTTTTTTTTTTTTTTTTTTTTTTTGTGTGTGTGGGGGGTTGTTTTTGTTTTTTCGAGACAGGGTTTCTCTGGTTTTGGTGATGTCCTGAATCTGAATCTCTGTAGACCAGGCTGGCCTCGAACCCAGAGATCACCTGCCTCTGCCTCCCAAGTGCTGGGATTAAAGGTGTGCGCCACCACCTGGCCTCCTCCCACTCTTTCTAATCTGCCCCCTTTCTCTAACATGACTACCACTACCACCCTTCAAACTCCCTCATCTTGCTTCAGTATTCCATTCCCTACTTGACTTCCAAAGCTGCCGAGCTTAGCCCTACCTGTCTCTCCAACCTTGTTTCCTACCCTTGGCCTCTTGCTCTCTCCTCTAGGACCCCGCCCTCCTTTCCTGCTCACACCCTGGTGCCTTTGCACTGGCTGCTCTGCCTGGTTCCTCTCCGCCCTCTTTCCCTGGACAGGTCTGTCTTCCTGCTGTCTCAGCTCTGGGTGATGCTTCAAAAGAAGCAGCATTCATTCCTCACCACTCACTAGCCTCCCACCCGTGATCTGGTCCAGAACCCTCCCTGGAGCACTTACCAGTTTGTGTAATAGTTAGCCCTATGGAGTTCCATTCACATTGGCCAATGATAGGTTTCATTACCATCAGACATCACCCTCTCCCAACATGGGAGAGGGTGTGATGCCATTTTCCAAGTTCCAAATTGACTTGGTGTCAAAACAGTAGAGAAGCCTCCTGTAGCACAGAGGTGGTGGCGCAGGCCCCCACTCAGACTCTTTGTGTTCCCTTGCTAGCCTCGTGACCTTGAAGAGGTTACTTAACATCAGGGTGCTTGAATTTCTGTAACTGCTGGAAGATGTGTTGGGGTTTGGTGCTAAGAGGGTGCTGTTGGCTACAGAGCCAGTGTTCTCCGGAAGTGCTGATAAAGAGCTTTGGCCGTGGTGACTGGAGTAGCTCTGTGTGGCCTTGGACACTTTCAAACTCCCTTTGAATTAGTTTTTTGTTGTGTATTAAGAGAACGAATTATAATCCCATCTTCTCATTCAGATTTGCCAAGAGTCAATTGTTTCCAATTTGAAAATAGAAAATACACGGCCAGTCAAAATCGGCACTATAAATAGAAAATTTAGCAATTCATTTTTGTGCTAGTGTGTCATTTATGGGTTCTTTGAAGGTTGGTTTGGCATCTTTCTGAGAGGATGTTTACACTTTGGGGAGAGGTTTCCTTGTTTGCTTTTCCTCATGAGCCTTGTCTCTGCATCCCTAGGCCGCCTCAATGACATGTACGGAGACTACAAGTACACGTACTGGGCCTGTGGCGTGATCCTCATCATCGCGGGCATCTATCTCTTCATCGGCATGGGCATCAATTACCGACTCTTGGCCAAAGAACAGAAGGCAGAGGAGAAGCAGAAAAGGGAAGCTAAGGAGGAGGAGGCCGGCACAGACGCCGGCGAGAAGCCCAAGGAAGTAACCAAAGCAGCACAGTCCTCGCAGCAGCAGAACAGCGCCGGAGAGCCCGCAGAGGAGGAGAGTCCCGTGTGAACGGAGCAAGCAGAGCAGTGTGTGACCCGAGCCGACATCTGAAACCATTCTGCTGGCCTCTAGTCTACCAGTGGTGCTCAATGCAGACAGTGGACATTTCTGTGGAAACCTACCAGGTGTTCATTGGTGGATTTTTTTGTTTTTGTTTTTGTTTTTTTGTTCACTCCTTACCAATGCCGGAATTCAAAATTTACTATGCTTTAGGTAGGGAGTGGGTGGCAAAGGATATGGGAAAGAACTAGGGATTTTGTTTTGTTTTGTTCTGTTTTAATCTTAGCTTTTAACAGTCTCATGAAGATTATAATATGTGCCTTAAGTTTTAGTTTTAGAACTCTTTAGAGAGCCTTAACTTTTAAAACCATTCTGCTGAATTCATCTATTTTAA